CCCTGAGAGAGAGTTCACCCTGATTCATAAGGAAAAGGGGATGGCGTATTCTCTTAGCTACTTCCTGCTGAAAAGGGACATAGTCCATAGGGAGTTCTGCTGCTAACCTGCAGACTTTGTCTCTACAACAGTTAAATCCACTGACAACTCTGAGGGAGAATGAGAAATCCCTCCTCCCATGTGATTGGCAGTCTCTGAAAACGTGCTACGGGAGGTTCAGCTATGAGCTGGTTCTGACTCAGTGGCAGTGAGTGGGATATGACTCCCATGGGGAAACACTCAGGTCCTCAGCTAACTGCTGTAACAGAGGGGAAAAAGAAAAGGCATCTGGAAAGATTGTCTTTTTTTTTGTTTGTTTGTTTCAGAATGTCAAACTTAGAAAAAAAAGTTTAAGGGTAAGTTTTAGAACAGTCACCTCTTTTGATCATTTGCACATGCTTTCTCTCTCCCTCTGTATATTTGTAAGTTTTCAGTACTCTTCTCAGCACCAAAACTCAAAGGCATCGATTGTTCTATTACCCTTAGTCATCGTCCAGCTTTCAGATACAGGAGAAGTAATGGAAAAGATCACAGCTAGGATCAGGAACATCTTAGTTTTTAAACTGACATCTTTACTCTAGCATTTTGGAGACGTCCTTGCCAGCAGCTTTTCCCAGGGCAGCACATCTTTTGACTTCTTGACTGCTGGTCTCAAGGATGTTGATTGTGAATTCAGGCAAGATAAAATTATTCAAAACTTTGATCTTTTCTCCATCTGTCATGATGTGTATTGGCCCAATAGTAAGGATTTTTGTTTTTTAATGTTGAGATATAGTCCATACTGAAGGCTGTCTTTGTTCTTCTGCAGCAAGTGTTTCAAGTCCTCTTCACTTTAGCAAGCAAGGTTATGTCATCTGCATGTTGTTGTTGTTATGTGCCATCGAGTCGCCTGCGACTCATAGTGACCCTGTGTATGACAGGCTTACACTCTGCTCTATCCTATGCCAATTTTATTGTCTCTGACACACCTACCTCCATTACTCTAGTGATTGAATCAGTCCATCTGATTGAGGATCTTTCTCTCTTGTGCTATCACTGCACCCTCCCAAGCATGATGTCCCTCTCTAAGGACTGGTCCCTTCTAGCAACATGTCTGAAATATGTCAGATGAAGCTTCAGAATCCTTGCCTCCAAGGAGCAGACTCGTTTGAGCCTCTCTAGGATGAACTTGTCTGTTCTCTTCAATTCTCCTTCTGTCATCTCTAGTCTTTGTACAGCTTTCTGATGCACATAGCAAGTAATTGCAAAGACCATGGCTTGGATCAGGCACACCTCAGTCTCCAAAATGATGTTGCTGCTCTTCAGTACTTTGGAGAGGTCTCTGACAGCAGACTTTCCCAGTGCAATTCATTTTTTAATTTTCTGGCTGCTGGTGCCAAGAGAGTTGATTGTGGAGCCAAGCAAACTGAAGTTGTTAACAATCTCAATCTCTTCACCATCTATCATGATGCTGCCAGTTGGCCCAGTGGTGAGAATCTTTATTTTCTTGATGTTGAGCTTCAATCCATATTGAAGACTGCAGTCCTTGACCTTCTGTAGCAAATGCTTCAGATCCTCCTCAGTTTCAGCACTCAGTTTTGTGTCCTCTGTGTAATGCAGATTGTTGGTGAGTCTTCCTCCAACCCTGATGCCACACTTGTTCTCATAGAGCCCAGCCTCCTGGATAAACTGTTCTGCAGCCCAGCCTCCTGGATAAACTGTTCTGCATATAGATTGAAAAAGTATGGAGATAGGACACATCCCTGGCATATACCCTTCCCAGTTTTGAACCATGCAGTGTTTCCTTGCTCTATTCTGACAGCCGCCTCCTGGTCTCAGTATAGGTTTCACATAAGCATGATCAGGTGTTCTGGGATTCCCATTCTTAGAGTTAGCCACAGTTTGTTGTGATCCACACAGTCAAATGTCTTTGTGTAGTCGGGGAAACACAGACATTCCTCTGGTACTTCCTGCTTTTAGCCAAGATCCACCTAACATTAGCTACAATATCCCTGGTACAGTGGCGTCTTCTAAAAAGTAGCGCAATTGGTCTTCCTTCAGTCTCGATGCCCCATTTTTGATAGATACCAGCTTCTCATATGATTAGCTCACCAAACAGATTAAATAGGTATAGAGAGTGGACACGGCCTTGATGCACACCTTCTTGATTTTAAACTGTTGAATGTACCTTGCCCTACTTGGACAACACCTTCGTGGTCTGTGTATAGGTTTTGCGTGAGCACAGTTAAGTGTTCTGAGATCCCATTCTTCTCAATGTTAGCCATAGTTTATTACTGTCAACCGTCAGATGCCTTTGCATAATTAATAGAACACACATGGACATCTTTCTGGTATTCTCAGCTTTCTGCCAAGATCCACTTGACATCATATCTTAATGCCATAACTGCTTGTGAAACCAGTTTCGATTTATGGATGCACTGTTGCAGCTTGAATAGCCCATGGACTGTCAAGAGAGCAAATATGTTTTGGAAAAAGTATAGCTAGAGTGCTTCTTGAAGGCAAGCTTGGTAAAATTTGTCTCGCATACTTGGAGCATGCTATTAGTTGAGGCTATAACTTGTAAAAAGTCATCATGCTTGGAAAGATGAAAGGAGATGACTTTGACCAAGATGGATTGACACAGTGACAGTATCGATATATCAGAGATGGTGAGAATGGCCAAGGATCGGGCAGAGTTCATACTTGTTATGCACAGGGGCACAATGAGTCTTAGTCGACTTGACAGCACCTAAGAGTGACAACATGTATACACGTGCAGTTTGAAAGCAAGTTACATATTTCATGTTCCTTTACTGCTAAATACTACCATATGTATTTCTGTGTTTTTTCCCCTTATAGGACAGGATTCAGTCTAGCATTGTGGATTGTATTTGTTTGTCTTTCTGGTCTTGTTTGCTTTAGAACTTCTTCCTTGTATTATCTTTTATGTTGTACACGTTAGAGGCCTGTTCCTTTGAAATTGTTTTAAAATAGAACATCTATCTCTCTTTGGGTTCTCTCTCTTTCCCTTGGTTAGGTTCAGGTTCTGTATCTGCACATGAGATTCTGCATGAGTAGAATAGTACATCATTGTCCTGTTTTTATATCTGGAGGCACACGAATGACACCCATTTGTTCTCCTTGCCACAGTAATATCCACAACCCAGTCAAGATTTTGTCTGATTTTGCTATTGTGGAGAAATATTTTTGTCCTCAAAGAACAGACTTTCCCTTGAAGAGTGTTCAATCTTCAGAGAGATTTTTTAAGGCCATTCAAGTATCTTGCTCCTTGTGAAACCTCTCTTTCCCTAGGGCCTCACGTGTATTGATGGTTGTTACGTGTCCCAGTCTACTGTGTTGGTGGAGGTGGTGTTAGTTGCTGTCTAGTTGCCTCTGACTCGCAGTCTTCGTCACGCTCAGGCCCATTGTTACAGTCATTATGTCAATCCATCTTGGTTTCTTTCCCAATTCATTGCTGCACATTCTCTCCTCGTACCCCCTTCCCCAGTCCCCTCTACAAGCCAGATTGCTCTTATACATATAATTCATAATTACTTATTCCTTTCGGATAGTTCTCTCCCTCAACTATTCTAATGCAGTGTTTGTTATCTATTTTTTCCCGTTCCCTTCCCATCTCCCCCTTCTGTCCTATTCTATAACAGCAGTGTTACGCAGTATTTTTCCTTTTGTGACTGAGATATTCCACTTAGCATAATGTCCTCAAGGTTCCCCCCCTCCCATGTTATGTAATGTTTTGCTATTTCCAGATTCAGTTATTTGGAGTTCCTTCGTGTTGCCCTTGTGTCCTTTTGACATCTCTCAGTGAGAGTCTCAACTGTCTGGCACAGCAAGATACTTTTGTACCTCCCACCTCTGCCATCAACAGCTTTTTTCCCGTGGAAACTTGGTTAAAAGGAAAATATAGTGGGAGGACTAGGAAGTCAAACTAAAAAAGCAAAAATCTTGGTAAATTAAGTAGGGACCTAAGTTTTCTAATTTGTAGTTTATCAAACTCTTGCTTGTCAGACTTTTTTTTTCTATAATTATATTTTATTAATTTTCATAAACATTTACAGAGATTTTGGGTTTCCATTCATTCATTGTTGCACTTTGTCAGACTTTTTGACTCTGCTTTGTGAACTGCTCTTTAAATGCAATGAAATAAGCGTGGCGTTTTGAGTTTTTGACAGAGAAGTGTCAAAAAACTTGATCTTTAGGTGACAGGAGTGAGAAAGATGACCCCTCCTAAGATGATAAAATGCAGCTATTGGAAGAAGCAAGACTATTCTAGTGCATTATCCCTTTGCAAGTCCATGAGGTCTTTTTTTTTGGGGGGGGGGTGGGGTTGGGTGGGGAAATGCAACAATTTTATTGAAAGAAAGTGCAATGAAATTTCTTGATAGCCTAAGAGAGGGTAACTTAGACACCACCCCTCAAGTGCAGGACCAAGTGCAGAGTGGACTCTTTCTGGATGCTGTAGTCAGACAGGGTGTGCCCATCTTCCAGCTGCTTCCCGGCAAAGATCACCTTCTGCGCTCACGGGGGGATGCCTTCCTTATCTTGGATCTTTGCCTTCACATTCTCAGTGGTGTCGCTGGGCTCAACCTCAAGGGTGATGGTCTTGCCAGTCAAGGTCTTCACAAAGATCTGCATTGTCTGGACCCATTTTTTTTTCAGTCGAAGTGGTCACCATGTTGCGACCTCCGTCTATCCATGCCCCCCTCACGGCCTCCTTCCTCCTGGCCCCGGCCGACGAGAAGGCCCAGTTGTCCACCGCTCGCAGTGAGCAGCTCGGCCTGGCCTTTGCCCACCCGACCAGCCCCAAGCCCGCCCCGCCTGTGTGACAGCCCCCCCTCTGAAGTCTTCTTTTTAAAATGTGTGTCTTAAAGGTGCCAGGTGTCCTCAGAAAACTGTTACACACCTGGAATACATTAGTGCTTAGGAAGTAAGTAGTAATTCAAGGACAGTCTTTTTCATTTTGGTGCCACTACCATTCTGCTTAGCTAATGAGAGGAAGTAGATTTTTACTTGGTGACAGTCACCCAGCAACATACTAGGGCCCATAGGCTTTCATTAATCCTTTTACCCTTCCTAACATCAGATTGTTCTTTCAGCATGAAAAATCATGAAAAATCCAAGAAGCATCGAGAGATGGTTGCCTTATTAAAACAACAGTTGGAAGAAGAGGAAGAAAAATTTTCTGGACCCCAGACAGATGAAAATCCATTGGATGCCAGTTCTGAGAAGGAAGTGGAAGAGTCACCAAAGCAAAAGTAATTCCAAATACTCCATGATCTTGAACATAATTACCACCTTCAGAGGTTGCAGCGAAATGCACTTCTTTGCAAAGCAGTTTATTCTTCTATACTAGTATTCTCCATTTATTGTTTAACTGGTTTATTGGAGCTTAATGGTAAGGAGTTGTGCTGCCAGCTTGAAGGCAGGTAATTTGAATCCACCAGTTGCACTACAGGAGAAAGATGGGCCGTCTCCCATGTAATTAACAGCTTCTGGATGGTTAGCTAGGAGTCAGTTTCGACTTGATAGTACATAATGACAGCAGCAACAACAGGGACATTTACTAGTTAAAGGAGCTCTGGTGGTGTAGTATAACAGAGAGTTGTGATGCTGACCTACACGGCACCTCGCTGGCAGTTCCGATGCACCAGCTGCTCTGAGGGAGAAAGATGGGCAGTCTCCTCCTGTTACACAGCTCCAGCCTCTGAAAACCTGCTAGAGTGTCAGCTGTAACTCGGTTCCAACTGTGTTATGGGTTTTATTGTTGTTGTTGTTGTTTTTACTAATGAAAACAACTTCATGGTTTTTAACTGGATGTAGCTTTAACGGCAAATAAAATGTATACAGAGCATATTGTGACTGGGTCTGCAACATCACACACAGCCTTGAAAACCCCAGGAGCAGTTCGCTACTTACGGGGTCACCAGGAGTTGGAGTTGACTCCAGGACCATTAGCATGAACTCTTTTGTCACTCTGTGAAAAGCAATTTTGTGTCCAGGCTGTTAGTGATTACTCTCTCACATTTGTTACAACCATTATTCCCTAAGGAGGCCATGTTGATAACTTTATCCTTTTAATGCTTTCTAATGTTAAATATTTTAGTGTTTTACTGCTAACTTGCTCTCCTCTTTTCTTTTCACTTAGCTGTTCCAAAGTCAGATATTTGACATCTTGGTTATATTTCCCTGCAGGCTCTCTAAAAAGCAGAAGAAAAAGAAACAGAAACGAGCACAGGTATGTGGAGCCGCTTTCACCACGCAGCAATGTGTGTCCTGTGGCAGAGCTCCTGTTCACTGTGTGGGCTGCGTCGGGAAGCAGGACGTCCCTATTTAATTTATGGTGCTTAGGAAATGGATGAAAAGGAACTGAAAATATTTATTCTTTTCATGTGTAATTATCAGTGTGTTTTAAAACACTGCAATTAGAATTCTCCTAATATCAATTAATTGAATGACCATGTTTTGTGGAGGAAAAAATCTAACATAAATGAAAATGCACACAAAGGAACCCATGCGGCCTACTGTGCTAACAAAGTCAGCAGTTCGCATGCACCAGCAGCTGCGCAGAGAAAGATGGATAGTCTCCTCCCAGACAGATTCACAGCTTCGGAAACTCACTGGGGGCCACTTGTATTGAAACTGACATGGTGGCAGTAGGTTTGGGATACATACAGATACACACACACATTTTGAATCAAAACAACTTTAAAAATTCTGAACTTTGGGGAAAGTCAGCAGTTGAGGTGTATATAAAAATATATAAAATATATGTGTTTATGTATATTTAAGTAAACAAGTAGAAAATAAAAATTTTGTTCACAGCTTTAGTCTGCTTGGCGCAGACTAAACAACACTCTTGGCATCACCAGCCAGGAAACAAAAAGATGTATTGTGATAGCAAAGTCTGCTGTTAGGGACCTCTCCCAAAGTACTGAAGAACAATGGTGTCACTCTGAGACTAAGGTGCATCTGATACAGTCTCTGGTCTTTGCAATCACTTGTTATGCGTCAGAGAGGGGAACAATGACTAGGGATGATAGAAGGAGAATTGATGCCTTTGAGCTGTGGTGTTGGAGAAGAGTACTGAATATATCATGGACTGCTAAGAAAATGAACAGGTTCATCCTGGAAAGGGTTAAATCAGCCTGCTCCTTGGAGTCAAGGATTCTGAAGCTTTGTCTGACATAGTATGGACATGTTGCAAGGAGGGACCAGTTCTTGGACAAGGACGCATGCTTGGGAGGGTGAAGGGATAGCACAGGAGAGGAAGACCCTCAATGAGGTGGATTGATTCAATAACTGGGGTAATGAGGGTAGGTGTGTTGGAGAGAGTGAGATTGGCACAGGATAGAGCAGGGTTTAGGGCTGTTGTACATAGGGTCACTATGAGTCACAGGCGACTCGACGGCACATAATAACGACAGCAACAAACCAAAATAACCCCCCACCGTTTTTCTCTACCTACAGTAGAAATGCAAAAGGAACATTCGACTAAAAAAACTTTACATGATTAAAACTCTGGCAGTTAAATGATTGCTGTCAAGTCTAAACTGACTCGTAGTTGACCCTTCAGAGAGTTTTTAGTGGCTGTAACTGGTGTGAGAGAACATTGCCCATGTTTCTCCCATGGAGCAAATGGTGGAGTCAAACCACCCACCTTTGTGTTGGCAGCACAGTCATTTACCACTAAGCCACAAGAGCTCCTTTGAAATGATTATGATTCTTGAGGAAAAAAGAAAGACTTCTGATTCTTTGAAAGATCATTTGTTTCCTTGTCTCAGAAGTTGGAGTAGTTGAAATATTTTACAACTGAAGCTCACGTTCACTCTTTTCCTTAAGAATTCTCTTATTAACAGAACAAAAGTGAGAACCCATTACACTTAATGAAGACATGTTTGCCAAGCCTTTTATTTATAATACTTGTTTTTTTTCCATGGTGTTTCCTTCTTGACTATAAAGTGTTATGATTGTTCATTCAGATCATTTGGAAAATAAGAAAGAAATATCATAGAGATTTACCTAATAAGTGGTCACTCTATATGTAGACTTTTCTCTCTCCTCTTTTTTTTGCAAATGTACTTTAAACATTTCTTAGCATAACTGAGTATCTCTGGAAGCATGATATTTAAGTTTTATTCTTTCTCTTCATATTTTAAGACCTACCAAAATTTGGATTGTTTGCCTTTTTTCCCCATCTTGCAATATTTTTGTAATAAGTATCTATTTTAAATGGTTATCTGGTTCTTTTTCTTTAAGATACATTCGTACTCAAGTATGCTGTACATTATTTTAATCTGATAAAATTAATTTTTGTTGTTCATAAAGTTTCTCTGAATCTTAGTTAACTTGATGGCACTTAACAACAACAAAATTGATCAACAATGTATAATATAAAAAGGAAATACTATTACAATGTTTTTTTAATGGCATTTGTCTTGTTACATAGAGTTATGATGATAACTTCAATGAAAATGGAACTGAAGCAGTCCATGTTGATCCAGAAAATACCAATTTAAATCAAGACAGTGCCAAAGAATTGGGTGACAGTCCCCAAGGAAGCATCAGTGTCACGGAGACCACTGAGCAGCGTGAGGACACAAGAAGTGCAACTAAAAGGTGAGTTAAAGTTTCTTAACTATTTCCCTTTTCTTTATTTGCTTAAGTAATATTTTTCTGTGTGTTTTTGGTAGAAGATCACATAGCAAATTAGATTTGCATCGGACAGTTTCTGCTGTAAGTGTTCAGTGATATTACTTTTTTCACAATCTCGCAACATTTTCTTTAATTGTGTTTCGCTGTTCCATTTCTAATTCTCTAGTTCCCCTAGTTCAGTTTAAAGTTTACAGACCACCTTAGGGCAGCAGTGTTAGGGAATCCTCTAGGCTGAACCTCCCCTGCCTGTACATGTTCTACAGAGTTACAAAACCGTTACTCCTTAATGCTGCATTGTTTTTCATTGTGTGAATGTACCACAGTTTTCAAGCCCTTCATTTGTTGATGAGCATTTGGCCCTCATCAGAAAGTTGGTAGTATAAAAAGAAAGTTGGTAGTGGTGGTTGGGCACCATCTGGTTCTTGTGGTCTTGGATCATTAACACGTTGCTACACACTTTAAATTGATGACTGTGCTTAGAAACACATTTTGCCGTTATTTGCAGCAGTGTGTTAAAGCTGAGAGCTGTGTGGTTTCTTAGCTCTGTGGAAAGATTTATTTTTATAAATTTGTGTGTGTGTGTGTGTGTACTGTCAAATTGGATCTGACTGGTAAAGGAAGAGATTGCCCTTCCTTCTCCAGCAGAGCATCTGGTGGGTTTGATCTGTGCACCTTCGGGATTGGAGTGCAGCTTCTTGCCACTAGGCCACCTGAGCTCCCTGAAAGATTTTTTTTCTAAGGCTTTGGTTTCCTCCTTTCTCTTTTGCACCTAACAAGTAGACACATAGGCATGTTTTCATGTCTTCAGTAGATGTTCTTAGTATTGCACAGTGTGAACTTTGTCACTTGACTGACTGACTTGACCCATTAGGGTAAGATCTTAAGCCTTTAAACCCAGAAATCCATTCTTTTTTTTTTCCTTGTTGTGAACCTTCGAGTGAGATCCGACTGGCACAGGAGGAGATTGCCCCTCCTTCTCCAGCAGAGCGTCTGGTGAATTTGAGCCGCGAGCCTTTCGGATTGCAGCAAAGCTTCTAACCCCTAGGCTACAAGAGCTCCCTGAGAAATCCATTCTTGGAAGGTGTTTAATTATATCCTAGGATCTGTCTTGGAGGAAGTGCATTCACGGTATTCCTTAGAGACAAAGATAGTGGAACTTCATCTCGTGTACTTGGGGCATAGTATCAGGAGAAGCCAGATATTGGGGGGAAAACATGAAAACGTAGGTCAGTGGAAGATCCTCAGTGAGGTGGATTGACACAGTGACTGTAACAATGGGCGTGAGCGTTGTAGAAGTTATGAGGACGGCACAGGATAGAGCATGATTTAGATCCATTGTTCTTAGGGTCACTGAGTTGTAGTTAACTCAGTGACACCCAACAACAGCAGCAGCATTCAGTCTGTATGCAGAGCAGATTATCTGATAGAATGGACTAGATAGAGGAGGCGGTAATATTAGGATTGCAAAAACACTGATTCACAACTGGTGATAGGTAGATGAAACAGCATTGCTTGCTGAAAGGAAAGAGGACTTGAAACACAGTGGAGCTCAAAAACTAGCCTTCAGTATGGATTCCACCTCAACATAAAGGAAAAATCAGGACCAAAACACGTTGAGAAACAGAAAATATAGACATTGGCAAAGATTAAATTTTACTTCTCTAGGCGTGCTCATGGAATCAGCAGCCAAGAAATCAAAGCTTTGTATTATCTTGAGCAAATGTGCTGTATAAAAGACTTTTTAAAAAATGAAAGCATGGAACTGTCACTTTGAGGACCCACACCGTGATCTTGTCATTCACCTCATAGGCATGTGTAAGATCAACAGTCAGTAAGGGAAACTAAAGAAGAATTGATGCCTTTAAATAGGTGGAGTTGTAAAAGAATAATGACTGTTCCATGGACTTCCAGATGAACAAATTTGTCGTGAAAGAGGTGTAGCCAGAATGCTTCTTGGAGGAAAAGATAGCAAGACTTTGTCTCACATACATTGGGCGTGTTGTGAGACGGAGCCAGTCCTGGGAGAAAGGTCTCTTGTTGGGTGAGGGCCAGAGGACAAGAGGAAGAGCCTCAGTGAGATGGACTGACAGTGGCTGTAACAGCGTCCTCAGCACAGGAGCGATTGTGAGCATGGTGTTCACATCAGGCAGTGATCTGTTCTGTTGTACATGGGATCAGCATGAGTTGAACCAGCTGGGTGACAGTTATTAACAGCAACCTGCAGACAAAGCATTTGGGGAAGAGATTGCAAGAAAGAACATGAGAGAGCCATCCCTGTGGTTCCGTTGCCCCCTGAGGTTCATCTTTCGGGCTGGGCTCTGTAAATCTCTGGTGGTCTCAGTAGATCAGCACTGCTGCGGTATCTGTATCTCACAGCCTGGTGACGTGGACACCTCTGTGTTAGGAAATGTTTGTCCCAGACTTGACTGGGCTCCACTAGTTGTATTTCGAGGAAACTTAAGTTAGTAAAATAAGTGAATTCACCTTAACTTGTGAACAAGATGATGATGAAAAAGGAGAGACTAAAAATTCTAGACTACAGATGTAATATTATGCTGAATTACTATTTTTTTTCCCTAGTGTCCCTAAACCCAAAGGAAAGAAAGCCAAAGATACAAAAAAAGCAGTCAAAGTCCCTGTTGAATCACAGTCAGAGGTAGGTCAAAATCAATATTTTGATCTTTTTTGGTGGACCTTGCTGTGTAAGTAATGTAGTGTTCTAAACATGTAACTCTGTCTCGTGAATGCTTCTGCCTAAAAGCTGCTGCCAAGGTGGGGATCCTTCAACTTTCCCTTGGCAACCTTAGAATGTATACTTCTGTTCCTGTCCTATCATTCTTTCTTTTTGTTTGTTTTATTCAATAATTTATATACATTGCTTTTATTGCCCTCTCTCAAGTTCCCATTGCATCATACATATTTTTAAATGTCTTATTCCCGTATTAATCTCTGCTGCCTAGTGACTTCCTCTTTATTCCTTCCCCCGGTCCTCCTCTTTCACTTTTAAATAGTTATATATATATATATATATATATATATATATATCTTGTACCTATTTTCTGATTACAGTATCAATATTGTCTTTATTTAAATTCTCTTCAGGTCAGGTCATCCTTCTTTGTCTTGGTCTTTGTAATGTTCTTTTAGTTTGTTCATTACATTTTATTCTTTCCCTCGCCACTCCACCTCTCAATTACCCTCCTATTGTCACAATAGTGGCCTTATGCAGTATTTTATCTTTTGTGACTGAGCTATTTCATTCAATATAATGCTATCTAGACTCTCACATATTTTGTCATAATTAATACTTTGTTCTTCTTTAGTACTGCATAGTATTCTATACTGTGACTATCCCACAGGTTTTCTATCCATTCATTTATTGATGGTCATGTAAGTTGTTTCCATTTTCTTGCTATTATGAACAGTGTTGCTAGAAACATAGGTGTATACCTGTCCTATCATTCTTAAAGTAACAGACACACTGGAAATATTAGATTGTGCACCAGAAATATCACTGTTCAGTTTTCCGTGACTTTGAAGTGTGACACCTCAGTGATGATAAGACGATAGCTACATGAGTACACACATTTTGCAGATTAATTGTGAGGCACAAATTATTCCCCTCTGGTCTGTGGGGCACATACCATTGATTGTCCTCCCACCCTTCTGGCTGACAGTGTAGGTAATGAGATTCCACATCCAGGACCCTTCCAGCAATGGCGTGAGGTAATGAACTGTCATCTCCGGGAACGCCTGCTGTCACTGAGTGTCTGGGTAGCTGTCCGTTTCAGAACGGCATCTTTACACTTTGCTATTGTTGGCTGTTTGGTTTCCACATTGCAGTATAAAAACACTGCTCTCAGAAAACAGTGCCTTTGTTTACAATTCTTTGTCTCCTCAGGGCGATACTCTTCTCAGCTGTTCCACATGCCATGATGAATTCCCATCGCGGAACAAGCTCTTTGAACATCTAAAAGCCTCTGGTCATGCAAGAGCGCTTTCATCATCATCATCTTTGAACAGTGCTGCAAGTAGTCGAAGCAAGAAAGAAAAACGTCGCAACAGATAGAATGTCTCTCAGCACTTTTTTCTTTCTGTCTCTAGATTTCTAAACCAAAAACTGAACTGAAACCATCTAAAGAGTTAAAATTTCAGTGATCTGCAATTGGTTGCATTGTGGAAGATTATTTTCTACTTTGTAAAAACTTTTTTTTTGTTTAATATATATATTTTTGAACATTTCACTAGTGATTGACTGAATTCTGCTGTTGCCATCTGAATTGATTTGAATGTCTCAAAACAGGTAAATATTATAAAGTATGCACTCTTGATTACTTTTGGCTCATATGACTATGTACAGGGAGAATTAAATTATTTTAACACACAGAGTCCCCTTTCCTGCTTTATTTTGTGAATTTTACATTGTTGTTGTTATATACTGTCAAGTCAAACCCCACTTATAGCTGATCCTCCAGTGGGTTTTCAGAGGTAGTTAATTGCATGGGAGGAGATGGTCCATCTTTCTCCCTCGGAGCAGTTGCTGGATTCTAAACATGGACCTTTGGATAGGCAGTGTCATGCTTTACCAGTGTTGCCTTTGAGCTGTGGGGTTGAAGGAGAGTACTGAGTGTCCCTTGGACCGCCAAAAGAATGAACAGATCTGTCTTGGAAAATGTGCACCCAGAGTGCTCCTCGGAGGCACAGAGGGCAAAGCTTCATCTCACAGACTTTGGACGTGTTGCTAGGAGAGGCTATTTGAAAGGATATTATGCTTGGAAGGGTAGAGGGTCAGTGAAAGAGAGGAAGACTCCCTATTAAGATGGATTGACACGATGACTGCATCAGTGGGCTCAAGTGTGTCAGAGACTGTGAGGATGGCACAGGATAGGATGGGATTCGGGTCTGTTCATAGCATTGCTCTGAGTCGTACTCAACAGCACGTAACAACGACAGCCCACCAGGTTCCCTGAACTTCACTTTACGCTTTGAAAAAATCCTTTTACAACATGTTTTCATTTTTGTGTTGTGTGTGTGCATTATACATGTATATATTTCCGTGTGTGTATGTGCGTGTGTGTAACACTCAGGTGCTAACTGAACAATTGATTCTTCAGACCTGCAGCTTCCCTGCTGAAGGATGATTTGGGATGTGGCGGTCAATCCTTAAGGGCAGTGACTGACAGAAACAAATTGAACGTATGTGGGTGTGTTTCAAGAATAGTAACTTGTGAAGGCAGAACTGTTATTTCATTTGATATTTTACTGTTTATCATAAATAAGATACTTTTTTTTTTGCTTTTCTCGCTGTGATTTGAGTTGTGAAGGTAGATGGATGCAAAGTGGATTTATACAGTACTTCCCTCCTGGGTATGCTGACAAGTGGAGAGTGATGGAACAAGGAAGCAGGCCGTTTAGAATTTATACTGGCTTCTTTAGCAAGGAACATGTCCTGCCTAGGGCTTTTTCCTTTACTATTTGCGACTTTTTTCCTCCCATATCATTCAGTGCAGATATACTGAGTGGACTGATACTTAGGTCACAATGTCTAGCAAGGATGATTATGAAATTAATTTCTATGTGGAAAATTCTGATAGCAAAGTATAATTAAGTGCATTGACTGATGATGAGTCAATTTTGAGGAAAGATTAAATAAGCAGTTCTGCAAAGTAACCTTAAGCTCTCTAGCTTGAAACACAATCTTTTGTTCAGTGAAGATACAGCTTCCTTATCTTCTTGAGTCCTCAGTTATGGACAAGATGTAAAATTAGTTCAGAATGACACTTTCCATTCTCAGTGTCTTAGGTATCATTATTACTTCATGGCATTTAATGTTGCATATAAGTAAGCATTTCAGACTTAAAAATTTTATTTTCCTTTTACATCTAGAGATAATGTCTGTTTTCCTTTGTTGTTGTTAAGTGCTATTGAGTCACTTGTGACTCATAGTGACCCTATGTACAACAGTCCTAAACCTTGCTCTATCCTGTGCCACTCTTACTGTCTCCAACACACCTACCTCCATTTCCCCAGTTACTGAATCAATCCATCTCATCAAGGGTCTTCCTCTTTTGTGTTGTTCTTCCACCCTCCCAAGCCTGACATCCTCTCTAAGGGCTGGTCCCTCCTTGCAACATGTCCAAAGTATGTCAGATGAAGCTTCAGAATCCTTGCCTCCAAGGAATAGCCTGGTTTTCACCCTCTCCAGGAAGAACCTGTTTGTTCTGTTACCAGTCAATGGTCAATACTCTTCTTCAAAACCACAGCTCAAAGGCATTCCTTCTCCTTCTATTACCCCTCATCATTGTCTAGCTCTCTGATACATAGCAAGTGATTGTAAAGACCACGGCCTGTATCAGGCGCACCTTAGACTCCAGACTGGCATTGTTGCTCTTCAGTACTTTGGAGAGTTCTCTGACAGCAGACTTTCCTAATGCTGTTCGTCTTTTAATTTCCTGGCTACTGGTGCCAAGAGTGTTGATTTTGGAGTCAAGCAAACTGAAGCTGTTAACAATCTCAATCTCTTCACCATCTGTTTCCTTTACCACCTTTTTATTTCCGTAATTTCTGTCACTAATTCTTCCTAATTGTTTTAGTTTCACCACCCGCATCCCCTTTTTGATCCTGTCAAGGATAATTATGAAACAGTTTAATAGTGTTGTGTCTTCTGAGCTGCCCTTGCCCCAGACCTCATCTGAGCACTATTTTCATCTAATTTGTACTAAAAATACAGCCTCCATTTTGATTACATCTTATTAATGAGCTGAAGAATATATAAGTACAGTATTAAATGCAAAGTCGTCAGCTATACTACAAAGATTCTTCAGACTTCCTTTTAAAAAAATGGCAATATACACAACCAAAGATTCTCACCACTGGGTCATTTGTTAGCACCATGATAGATGAAGAAGAGATTGAGTTTCTTAACCAATACAGCTTGCTTGGCTCCACAGTCAACACTCAGTAGTCAGGAAAGCAAAAGACAAATTAGGGAAATCTGCTGTTGGGGATCTTTCTAGAGTACTGAAAAGTAGCGATGTCAGTCTAGAGATTAAGGTGCACCTGATCCAGGCTATGGTCTTTGCAATTATTTGCTTTGAAACAAAGAGATGGACAGTGACTAAGGAGAATAGAGGAAGAATCAGTACCTTTAATTGTGCTGGAGAAAAGTATTGAACATACAAAGGACTACCAAGAAAACAAACACATCTGCCCTAGACAGGGTGAAAACAAGTTGTTCCTTGGTGGCTAGGATTTTGAAGCTCTGTTTCAAATACTTTGGGCATGTTGCCCAGAAGTACCAGTCCTTGGAGGAGGACATCATGCTTGGAAGGGTGGAAGGACAGCACAGGAGAGGAAGACCCTGGATAAGATGGATTGACAGAGTGACATGTAAATGGGGGTAGGCACGTCAGAAGCAGTGAGATTGGCTCAAGTTAGGACAGGCTTCAGAGCTGTTGTGCATAGGGTTGCTGTGAGTTGCAAGCAACATGATGGCACAAAACAACAACATACACAACCAAACAGATCTATTCATAACTTTTGCATGTACTGATCAGTAATATTGGTTACATACTTTACATTGCCACTGTCTACCTGTATTGTTGCATCACCTTTGGATCTATTCTCTCTGCTCCTTGAAGTACTCTCTGTGTTTCAGATTAATTGTCATCAGATTAAGCTCTTATAGATAATCTTTATAAGAACACTATACATATGGAACTTACCTGATGGCCTACACAGGAATCAGATTTATTGTGGGAAAAGTTGTTGAAGCTCAGTATCAGCTGTGAAAATTAGGCCAGGTGCTGATTGTGAAACAGACCATCAAGTGCTCATGCAAGTTCAATTAATGTGCTGTGTTTCACCCAAAACACTACGAAATATTTTTTACATTTATTATTAATTTCAATGAAAATTTACAGAGACTTTGGGTTTCCATTCATTCATTGTTGCACTTTTCTCCCCTCCCAACCCTCCCCCCTAACACACTACCATCTTGGAAAAGTAAAAGAAAAATACTTTCATTGTTTTACAAACCCTTCCCCTATGCAGCCTGAAATGTGCAAAGACCTGGAGTTGGAAAACCAAAAGGGATGAACTTGGCATTTCTTAACTGAAGAACAAGTTTATGTCGTGAGTGACAATACTTAATTAAGCATGCTATAGGCAATGTTGAATGACCCAAGAAGCATCAAAAGAAGACAGAAGGGAGTACACAGAGTCACTGTACCAAAAGAATTGGCAGACACAGAAGAACTTCATGAAACAACATAGGGAAAAAAACCCCCCACATTTCATTTTTTCCATGCGCGTTTTATAGGATTTCAGGGTTATAAACTATACCCCAAGCCTAACTAAGAGTAGAGACTTGGGTAATACCTTCTGGTGGGATGGGGCTAATCTCTCTCCTTAATACCATTCAACTCATCCTTGAGTTTGGTCTTTAGATTAGACAAAGATTCTAGAATCTACTATTAATACCATTGGGAAATGGTATTGGGAAATAAGGAGACATATTGCACTGGGCAAAGTCTGCAGTTAAGGACCTCCCCAAATTATTGAGGAGTATTGATGTCAGTTTGAAGACTGAGATGCGTCTGATTCATGCCATGGTCTTTCTGATCACTTGCTCTGCATCTGAGAGCTTGATAGTGAATAACAGAGAACAATTGATGCCTTTGAGCTGCAGAAGAATACTGAACATCCCATGGATGGTCAAAAGAACAAATACTATCTTGGAGAGGGTGCAGCTGGAGTGTTCTTTGGAAGCAGGATTGATGAGGCTTCACTTCACATACTTTGGGCATGTTGCTAGAAGGGGCTATTTCTTGGTAAAGGACATGATGATAGGAAGGATGTAGGGTCGGTGAAGGAGAGGAAGACCCTTGACCAGGTAGGTTGATGTGGTGACTGCTGCAGTTGGCTTTATTGTGTTAGGAAGTGTGAAGATGACACAGGATAGAACAGAGTTCAGATCTGTTGTTCATAGGGTCTCAATGAGTTATACTCAATGGCACCTAACAACAGCATGGTCCTTATGGGAAGCCAATACTAAATATATGTAATAAA